ATATGTTTTTATATATATATATATATATATATATATATATATATATATAATTTGTTTAGCTAGCTGTGGTAGAGGCATTGAGAAGTTTTACATACAACTTTGACAGTTGTGCTTTAATGTACAAGAGCAACAGATAATTTTTCTCTAGTGGTGCAGAGGAGTGAATGGACTACAGAGGTATGAAGTGTAGCCTTCATCAACTGTCTTCAAAGAGCTCATTTGAGCAATGTTGTTATGCTTTCTTTGAGGAGGTCCTTCCAAGCCGTTTCAAAATAACTACAACAATGACACTAGTTCTGTTCAGAGCTTCTTTCTACGTTGGCAAGTAACATCACTGTGGCACACTGTTGTTTAGAGGAGGTTTTTGGCCCAGATATTTAGGGCATTCGGAAGGGCCAAGACAAGGTTCTGAAACCGGTAAGGCTTTTCAGAGCTTTAAATAAGATCTGGACAAATGAAGAAATCCACATATATCAAAGAAACGTTAAAAGCAAAAGAAGTGGAGGATAAAATGAAACTGGCGTGCTAGATGTGCTTGAACTGGTTCCTGATTCTCATCTGGGGGGGATTCAATCCCCTGTGGCCAATCCCAGCGCTGGATTCCTCTGTCTTCTGTCCATCTCCTGCAGTCAGACGTGGGTCTGCATGCGTTTCTGCAGTGGCCGCGTGAGGTCTGAGTTCTGGGACGATGACTGAGAGTAATGGGACGAGGAAGAGGCCGAGGCAGAGGCCTTGCTGTCCTTGTCGAACTGCACGTAGCCATCCTGCTTGCTGTAACTGCTGACGCTGCTGTCGCACTGTGTGTCCAGGAAAGAGCTGGAATCGCTCAACGATCCTCGCTGGAATTCTCGCTCGCAAAGCTCGATGGAACTGCTGCCCATGCCCAGCACGAACCGCTGGCTGTAGTCGTACAGGCGGTTGGGTCCAGCACCCAAGGTAGAGTAGATGTTGGTGAAAGACATTCCAGTGGGAACCCGCTGCTTGCCAGTGGTGGCTGTGGCAGGGTCTCGGCGGAGCTCTGTGGTCTGGTTTCCGGCCAGCGTGGTTGGGGTGCCATGATGCTCCTTAAAGGTGTTCACGCTGTAGTATCCATTAGTGGGGTCCTTTGAGAAACAATGCGTTAACAAACAACGTCAATGTGCGTAAAGAGTTCAACAACGTAACACAAATATCATGACAAAAAAATGGTGGTAAAGGGCTTTCACATTGGCAGCGAAGCAGTTGATACCAGGGGGCAGTTGCATAAACTTAGCATTCATGTTAAAACCGTGCCTTAAGAACTACACTAGTCAACATTTGAAGTGGATCAGAAGCTTTCATCAAAGTTGTCCTAAAAACAAAACAATACCCGTTCTTGTCTCAGGACAACTTTGATTAACTTTTTTGATCCACTTCAAATGTTGACTTTTATAGTTTGACTACTTAACAGTTAACCAAAAGGTAATCAGTCTTACTTAATGTCAAGTTCTGTCATGAAACTCTAGATGGCACAGGCTGGGGGGTCTTTAACACAAACTAATGATATTCACAGCGTTAAACTACTTGGCACAAGCTGATTGGTTCATGTTGCATACGTGGTCAATCAGCTGTTTTACCTTTGTGACCCTGGAGCACAAAACCAGTCTTAAGTCGCTGGGGTATATTTGTAGCAATAGCCAAAAATACATTGTATTGGTCAAAATTTTAGATTTTTCTTTTATGCCAAAAATCATTAGTATATTAAGAAAAGATCATGTTCCATGAAGATATTGTATACATTTCCTACTGTAAATATATCAAAACTTA